CCCACGCCTGTGAGTGTCGTTCCCTGTCGCACCAGACCCTTCTCTGGCACCACCGCCTGGGTCACCCCTCCTTGCCACGCCTCCGTGGCATGCACCGTCGCAGCCTTGTGTCTGGTCTTCCCAGGTCCCTCCCTCCCCTCCCTGCCTCGCCTGCGCCGCCTTGCCTTCCTTGCGTCGAGGGGCGGCAGCGCGCCGCTCCTCACTCCTCCTCGTTCCCCCCGACAGAGGCTCCTCTGGAGACCCTCCACCTGGACGTGTGGGGCCCTGCCCGCGTTCGTGGCCAGGGCGGTGAGCGGTACTTTTTGCTGGTTGTCGACGACTACTCGCGTTACACCACGGTCTTCCCCTTGCGCACCAAGGGTGAGGTCCCTGCTGTTCTGATCCCTTGGATCCGCACAGTTCGTCTCCAGCTCCGCCGCCGTTTCCGGACGGATCTTCCTGTCCTGCGTCTGCACTCTGACAGAGGTGGTGAGTTTTCCTCCGATCTCTTGAGGACCTTCTGTCAGGCGGAGGGCATCGAGCAGACCTTCACGCTTCTGGACTCCCCACAGCAGAATGGGGTTGCTGAGCGCCGCATTGGCCTGGTCATGGAGGTCGCTCGTACCTCCTTGGTCCACGCGGCGGCTCCCCATTTTCTGTGGCCGTTTGCTGTCCGGTACGCCGCGCATCAGCTCAACCTCTGGCCCCGTGTCTCCTTGCCGGAGACCTCGCCCACACTGCGTTGGACGGGGGAGGTTGGCGATGCGTCGCGCTTCCGGGTGTGGGGTGCTCGTGCCCTTGTCCGCGATACGTCCGCGGACAAGCTCTCCTCTCGCACGCTTCCCTGTGTCTTCCTTGGCTTTGTCCCTGACGCGCCGGGCTGGCAGTTTTACCACCCCACCTCGCGCCGGGTCTTCGCCTCTCAGGACGTCACCTTTGACGAGTCGGTCCCTTTTTACCGTCTCTTCCCCTACCGCACTGCCCCCCTCCCTCCCCCGCCGCTTTTCCTTGCTCCTGGTCCCCCTCCGGTAGACCCCCTTCCCCCTCAGGGTCCTGCTCCTTCAGGTGTCTCTCAGGTAGATCCTCCTCCCGTCGCTGAGCCTGTCGAGGTCACAGGTGACTCAGGTGCTGCTGCAGGTGGTGCTGCTGGGAGTGCTGAGCCTGGGGGTGCTGAGCCTGCGGGTGCTGGGCCTGGGAGTGCTGGGACTGCGGGTACTGGAGCTGAGGGTACTGTGCCTGGGAGTTCGGCGCCTGGGGGTGCTGAGCCTGGGGGTGCTACGACTGGGGGTGCTGAGCCTGCGTGTACGGAGTCTGGGGGTGCTGAGCCTGGGGGTACTGAGCCTGGGGGTGCTGCTGCTGAGCCTACGGAGCCTGGGGTTGCTGCGTCTGGGGGTGCTCTTCCTGGCGGTACTGGAGCTGCTGGAGCTGACGACGCTGGAGCTGACGGTTCTGGACACGGTGGTCCTGCTGGTTCTGGAGGTGCTGGCGAGGGGAGGTCTGTCGCTGCTGGGGCCTCTGGTGCTGACGTCGCCGACTCGGGGGGTGCTGTGGCGGAGGGTGCTGGTCCAGGTGCTTCTGGTGCTCCGGGTGCTGGAGGTGCTGGCGGAGCTCCGCCGTCGCGCCTGTTCTTCGCTCCTCCGTCGCCGTCGGCTTTGCCGCCGCCTGACACGGTTCTTCGCCAGGTTCTTTCCCTCCCGTCTTCCACTGGCCTTCCCCTTCAGCCTGGCTCCCCCCTCCCTGCTCCTGTGCCTTATACTGCACAGCCGGACTCGCTTACGGAGCGTCGTGAGCCTGCGTCTCGTCCTGCCTCGCCTGTTCGCGCTGCTCGCGCTGCTCGCGCTGCTCGCACTGCGCGCACTGGTCCCACTGGTCGTCGTGTCGCGCGTCCGCGTCCTCCTCCTGTTCCTGGCACGCATATTATGGCCCTTCGTCCTTCCACTGGTCCACAGCGTGTCCCCCTACCGTCTCCTCCTGCGTCTTCTCTTCCTGACGTTCCCGACCCTGAGTCTGACAGTGTTCGTGCTGCCCACCCTACTGTTACGCGTCTTCTCGCCACTGTTGTCACTGACCCGTCGTTTGAGTCTGCTGCTGCGTCTGCCCTAGTCGCTGAGCTTGTCGACTTTGCTGCTGCCTGTCGTCTAGACTACGCCGCCAGTCTTGTTGCCGGGTCTGAGTCTGTCTGTCCTCCGTCCGTCGGGGGTGAGTGTGCTCTTGGCACGGACGTCCTTGAGGACAGGCAGGAGGACTTTGACTCTCTTGCGGCTGCTGTACCTCATCTCGTGGCCTGGTTGCTTGCCCCTGAGGGAGACCCGGATGCACTTGACATCCCCACTCCGCGCTCTTACGCAGAGGCGATCTCGGGTCCCTACTCCTCTTAGTGGCAGACAGCCATGGACGCAGAGATGGCATCCTGGAAGTCCACACGCACCTACGTCGACGAGGTTCCCCCTCCTGGGGCGAACATCGTCGATGGCATGTGGATTTTCAGGGTGAAGCGGCCGCCAGGTTCTCCACCTGTCTTCAAGGCTCGTTACGTTGCTAGAGGCTTCAGTCAGCGTCAGGGGGTTGACTTCTTCCAGACCTTCTCCCCCACCCCGAAGATGACCACTCTTCGGGTTCTGCTACACGTTGCTGCTCAGCGTGACTACGAGCTTCACTCTCTTGACTTCAGCACAGCGTTCCTGCAGGGCAGCCTGCACGAGGAGATCTGGCTGCGCCGCCCACCTGGCTTTACTGGGTCGTTTCCTCCTGGTACCCAGTGGAGCCTCCGGCGGCCAGTCTACGGTCTCCGCCAGGCGCCTTGTGAGTGGCACGACACACTGAGGACTACACTTGCAGCTCTTGGGTTCGCGCCGTCTACTGCTGACCCGTCGTTGTTTCTGCGCACAGACACGTCGCTACCGCCGTTCTACATTCTCGTGTACGTCGACGACTTGGTCTTTGCTACTGCTGACACTGAGGCACTCGCTCGTGTGAAGTCGGAGCTGCAGAAGAGACACACCTGCACTGACCTGGGTGAACTGCGTAGCTACCTTGGCTTGCAGATCACCCGGGACAGAGCTCGCCGCACCATCACCCTGACTCAGTCACACATGGTGCAGCAGGTCCTTCAGCGCTTCGGCTTCCAGTTCTCCTCACCACAGGCCACACCTCTGGCTACCAGCCACTCGCTCTCAGCTCCACCTTCGGACGAGTCCGTAGAGCCGAGTGGCCCGTACCCAGAGCTTGTAGGCTGCCTCATGTACCTGATGACTTGCACGCGACCTGACCTCGCGTACCCACTTAGCATCCTTGCTCGTTACGTTGCGCCTGGGAGACACAGGCGAGAGCACTGGGAGGCTGCTAAGAGGGTGCTGCGTTACTTGTGCAGTACATCAGGCATGGGGCTGGTGCTTGGAGGACGCGACAGAGTTGTCCTCACTGGTCACTCGGACGCTTCTTGGGTGGACGACCTGGCTACGCAGCGGTCGTCACAGGGTTACACCTTCAGCCTTGGCTCTGGTTCTGTCTCGTGGCGGTCCACCCGCTCTTCTTCTGTTCTCGGCTCTAGTTGTGAGGCTGAGATCTACGCCACAGCCATGGCTGCACAGGAGTTACGCTGGCTCACCTACCTGCTGACTGACTTGGGAGAGCGGCCTAGTTCTCCTCCAGTTCTGTACGGTGACAACAAGGCGGCCCTTGCCTTGTGTCAGGAGCACAGACTGGAGCACAGGACGAAGCACATTGCTCTTCGCTACTTTCTTGCTCGAGAGCTTCAGCAGCGCGGTCAGCTTCGGCTTGTGTACGTGGACTCGAAGGCCAACACTGCTGATATCTTCACCAAGGCGCTCCCGTCTAGTGATCATCAGCGGCACTGTACTTCTTTAGGCCTTGTGTCCACTTTTCCTCATTTGCTTACTGCTTGACTTTCTTTGTACTGTACTTTATATATATCTTGCTGCTTGTCCTGTTCTATATCTAGCACTGCATGTGAACTGGCCTTGTGGCCTTTGCTTGTGCTCGGAGTGTGGTGACGTTGTGATCCACCCTGGGCTTTGCTTTGCTTTGCTGGACTGGTCTTGTGACCCTTTGTTCTCCCCCACTTTGCCTATGGGGGTGTGTTAAACTGTATTATGTTTGTAGGCTGTAGTGGGGTAGCCAATATGGGGTACAACCCCAACTAGGGTTTGCTACTTGTACCCAATTCTTCCATTCAATGCACCATTCTTGCCTAGTTCTTTTCACAAATTCTGCTCCTTGCATGTCACTGTTTCCTTATCCCGTGTTCCTCCCCATCGCTGTTTCCATACCCCATCTAACCCCATCAACCCCTTCTTCTTTCCCACGCCTCCAGGGCAATCCTGACTTGCGGGGTGTGCATGGCTTCTTGGGGATTTTCATTATGGTGCTTTTTGTTGTTCATGGACTTCTCGGGCTTCAGTTGGGCCTAAGTTATTAGCAAGGCTGGTCTACAAGAATAAACTGTGGTCTGCAAGGGTGCTACATGGAAGCACTCCATCATTGTTCGTTGTTTCACAAAAACATGGAAGTTTCGTGAATGAGAGCATTTGGGCCATTGCAAGCATGGAGAGGGTTCGGGTTTAACAAGTTTACCAGTACTGAATTTCATATTCAACTCCTTTTTTTTTCCATATAGGGATGTACTAGTTGCAGGTCTGGTTAGGGGTAAGGTAAGCAGTTGCATTTTCCCTTCACTGAAGTATCGAATCGAATCAAGTGAAGCTGAGCAACTGGTATCGCGAATATAGCTTCATCGCAGGTCCACACCGAAAGCATTTTCGTTGCATGCATATTAGCCCATTTTCCCTAAGCTTCCTGCATGCACCACCTAATACTGCTGCAGAGTGAGGAAGGAGTAGTTTCGATGTATCTGTGGTAGATGCTGCTGCTTCTTGGCACTGATAAGAGCTTATTGATATCATGAAATGGAAGAGCAAAACATATAATTTACATGCTGAAGCAGGGACACCCGTCCCAACCAAAAACAAGCGGTACCATAATCTACTAATTATTCCCTGGTTTCAAACCATGGCAGCGACGCCTTCCGACTTGGGCGTCTCAACCTTCAAATCGTACTTCTGGCCGCGAACGACGGCGTACATCTTGTCGGGCGCGATGTAGTCGCAGGTGCGCTCGATGCGGAAGGGCTGGCCGGGAATCTGGTCGCCCGAGTGGATCTGCACGCCCGTGATCACGGCGTAGTCCGCCGTGGCGGGGTCCACCGTCAGCGAGATGAGCTTCTCGAGATCCTCGTTGATCGCCGCCAACGCCGCGCGCGTCACGTCGACTAGCGACTTGTTGCCGCCCGACACCTGCAAAGGGGTTAGGAGGCGGGAGATTCAGAATTGGGAGATGATTAATCCTTACTCTTTGTGAAATTGGTTCTGCCTCTCCAAAAGTAGGTACTGATCGTATTGGAGGAATTCATGTTGTAATTACTAACGTTTTCTTACCTTAGCCATGATCTTCTTGCGCAGCAGCGTGTACTCGGGGTCGTCGCTGTCCATGCTGGGCGCCACGCCGTTGTTGATGTCGTTGTTGATCGCGATCAACGCTCCGCACGCGCTCGACGGCTTGCCGCGACCGCGACGCAGCAGCGACCCCACCTCGCCCGACTCGCCGATGGACACGTGCGGGAACGCAAAGAAAATGTCTGCAGGGGTGAGAAGAGGAAGGTACGGGAAAAAAATGAAGATGAGGGTCAATTGAGTGAAGTAACGAGATGGGTATGTCGGCAGTGTGGAAATTAAGAGGGTTGCTGTGAAGGACAAGCAATCGCCAGTTCAACACAGATGAGAAGCGACAAAGAAGCAATAGATGCTTGGAATGACACGCGGCAAAGTGGAAAAACAAGGAAAATTAGAATGCTACTCAATTCACAGTAACGTAACCTATAGTAAAATTCCATGCTTACATCGCTCCTTGAGGTTGCCGTCGACGTCGCAGGGGAACTCGGGCGAGTGGCTCATGGCGGCTTTGAAGCCGACCTTGCCGCAGTTGACGAGCCCGCCCAGCCCCGAGATGTTGAAGCTCAGCCCGAACTCGCGGTCGATGATGCTCACCACGGGCCGGCACACCTCGTCGCGGCACGTGTTCACCAGCGCGATGCCGTTGTCCTTGCGGAACCCCAGCTTCGCCAGCTCCACCGCCACGGCCTTCAGGAACGCCTCCTCCTGCATCGCCGACGGGAACGTCGTCGCCATCGTCGCCAGCGCGGACGCCGCCGCGTGCTTTGCGCGCGGCACGATGCCGCTGGGAGGTGCCGGGGCGGCGGCGGGAGCGGCGCCGGTGGATGCGGCGGGAGCGGCGGCGGGAGACGCGGTGAGCTTCTTCACGGCGACGTAGGTCGCGGCGCCGAGCGCGCCGGCGCCGACTACGGCGGGGAGGAGGGAGCTGGTGGCGGGAGCGGCGAGAGCGGCCGTGGATTGGGAGACGCTGGCGAATTGGTTGTCACCGCTGGCCATGACGACGATGCTGGTGCGACGGTTACTGCATTTCGCGCATGGGCAGGCGCAGGACCGGCCGCAGGACACGCAGGTGCATGATTGGACCCCGGCAGAGGCGGAGAGTCCCCTGTGCGCCTTGAGGCCGGAGAACCCCGGGATTGCCGCGCGAGAAGAAGATGAGAGGCTGCTTCCCTCTGGGACAGAGAGGGAGCGAAGGGAGGCAGACGCCGAGGAGGAGAGAGTCGCAGCCATTGTGTCGGAGAGCTGTGTAAAGGCCTGAGTACTGCAGAAAGGTATTTAGGCGCTTTAGACAGCGACGATAGCAGAGAGCTGGACGCTATGAACAAACTGGAAACTCGTTGGTTAAGAATTTGAGATGTCGGAGGCTTGTATTTACGATGTTAGAATGTTGCCCTTCTCGAGGCAATCTCGTACCAACAAGCAGTGCCTGTGGAGTTAGGAAATGCGACAGGCGCATATCTAATCGGCTGGGAAGTATTTTGAATCTCGCCCAGGATTCTGGGCTGGGCGGGCCCAGGAGCTTTGAGAAACATTGTGGTCTGGGTGCGGTTCGTGCGCGAGGTTCCCGACGAGTGGCTGGGTGGGCTTAGCTGGATGATCCACATGGGGAATCCAGCTCAGAAAGGCTGCCACGTCAACAACTGGTCGATAAGTCAATGGCTCCAATCTCGCACCCGAAGCGCACATTCGACATTCACCTCCCCTCCTGCTCTCCCGCTTTTCAGGGTCTTGTGCAGTGGGAAGAAGTTGTACCTATCAACGACGAGGAATTGGCGTACAAAAGTCACACACTCGCCCTATTCCTCTTCGATGTTTACGCCAGGCAAGAGATACATAAACAATTGTTCGCGATACAATGTGCTCAGATTCACTTTGATTGGTAACGGACTGAGAGATGTGCAGACTGTAAGGTGGTGTAAAAGGTTCCCGATGATTATTCTTCCTACCGTTTACATAACACCTGTAGATCAGCCTTCAATTTCAATCCAATCCTTCCAAGTTAACGCTGGCTATATACTTCTCCATGCATCTTACCAGCATAGTAGCAAATTTGTCTCCGAAATGGCTAGTAACGAGTGAGTGCATGCTTCCACTTAAATAATGAGGCATGCTAAAAACTCAAGCCCAGCTGAAGCCCGAGAAGTCCATGAACAACAAAAAGCACCATGATGAAAATCCCCAAAAAGCCATGCACACCCCGCAGGTCAGGATTGCCCTGGAGGGATGGGGAAGAAGGGGACCATGGGGATTGATGGGGTTGATTGATGGGGTTTGAAAACAGAGATGGCGAAGATGGCGTGAGGAAACAGGGACGCGGCTGGAGCATAGTTATTTAGCAGCAACAGAGCCAATGGATGGATGAGAAGGGACGATAATGCTAGTGTGCGTAGACCATATTGGTCGAGCAACAAAGCAGCACACTTACCGGCACGTCGATTGGGACAGTCAGTCATGACAGTGAGTGTGGTGAATGGTGAGGAATGAGCAGAGCAAGGCAGAAAATGCAAGGCAGGCAGGTGTGCTTTGCAGCGGAGAGTCACTACTGCCTGAGCTGCGAGCATTGCGCAACGGGAATGAGAGCGAGCAGATTGATTTTTTGAGTCGACTCAAAAATCAACTCGAATGCAAGGCAGGCAGGTGTGCTTTGCAGCGGACAGTCACTACTGCCTCAGCTGCGAGCAGTGCACAACGGGAATGAGAGCGAGCAAGCGCAGAGGAAAAACGCGCAATCCTTTCGCTGCAAACCCACCTTGAAGAAGGCAGTCAATGCAGTCTGAATGGTGAGCAGCACGAGACCAGCCATGCCTGAGTATGCGTGCGGGCTGCACGGCATTGGAAGAGAAAAGGAAAAGACCAGTGAGCAGCGCAAGGCATGCAGCAAAGTATGCGTGCGGGCTGCACGGCATTGGAAGAGAAAAGGAAAAGACCAGTGAGCAGCGCAAGGCATGCAGCAGAGTATGCGTGCGGGCTGCACGGCATTGAAAGAGAAAAGGAAAAGACCAGTGAGCAGCGCAAGGCATGCAGCAGAGTATGCATGCGGGCTGCACGGCATTGGAAGAGAAAAGAAAAGGACCAGTGAGCAGCGCAAGGCATGCAGCAAAGTATGCGTGCGGGCTGCACGGCATTGGAAGAGAAAAGTAAAAGACCAGTGAGCAGCGCAAGGCATGCAGCAAAGTATGCGTGCGGGCTGCACGGCATTGAAAGAGAAAAGGAAAAGACCAGTGAGCAGCGCAAGGCATGCAGCAGAGTATGCGTGCGGGCTGCACGGCATTGGAAGAGAAAAGGAAAAGACCAGTGAGCAGCGCAAGGCATGCAGCAAAGTATGCGTGCGGGCTGCACGGCATTGGAAGAGAAAAGGAAAAGACCACTGAGCAGCGCAAGGCATGCAGCAGAGTATGCGTGCGGGCTGCACGGCATTGGAAGAGAAAAGGAAAAGACCAGTGAGCAGCGCAAGGCATGCAGCAAAGTATGCGTGCGGGCTGCACGGCATTGGAAGAGAAAAGTAAAAAACCAGTGAGCAGCGCAAGGCATGCAGCAAAGTATGCGTGCGGGCTGCACGGCATTGAAAGAGAAAAGGAAAAGACCACTGAGCAGCGCAAGGCATGCAGCAGAGTATGCGTGCGGGCTGCACGGCATTGGAAGAGAAAAGGAAAAGACCAGTGAGCAGCGCAAGGCATGCAGCAGAGTATGCGTGCGGGCTGCACGGCATTGGAAGAGAAAAGGAAAAGACCAGTGAGCAGCGCAAGGCATGCAGCAAAGTATGCGTGCGGGCTGCACGTCATTGGAAGAGAAAAGGAAAAGACCAGTGAGCAGCGCAAGGCATGCAGCAAAGTATGCGTGCGGGCTGCACGGCATTGGAAGAGAAAAGTAAAAGACCAGTGAGCAGCGCAAGGCATGCAGCAAAGTATGCGTGCGGGCTGCACGGCATTGAAAGAGAAAAGGAAAAGACCAGTGAGCAGCGCAAGGCATGCAGCAGAGTATGCATGCGGGCTGCACGGCATTGGAAGAGAAAAGGAAAAGACCACTGAGCAGCGCAAGGCATGCAGCAGAGTATGCGTGCGGGCTGCACGGCATTGGAAGAGAAAAGGAAAAGACCAGTGAGCAGCGCAAGGCATGCAGCAGAGTATGCGTGCGGGCTGCACGGCATTGGAAGAGAAAAGGAAAAGACCAGTGAGCAGCGCAAGGCATGCAGCAAAGTATGCGTGCGGGCTGCACGGCATTGGAAGAGAAAAGGAAAAGACCAGTGAGCAGCGCAAGGCATGCAGCAAAGTATGCGTGCGGGCTGCACGGCATTGAAAGAGAAAAGGAAAAGACCAGTGAGCAGCGCAAGGCATGCAGCAGAGTATGCGTGCGGGCTGCACGGCATTGGAAGAGAAAAGGAAAAGACCAGTGAGCAGCGCAAGGCATGCAGCAGAGTATGCGTGCGGGCTGCACGGCATTGGAAGAGAAAAGGAAAAGACCAGTGAGCAGCGCAAGGCATGCAGCAAAGTATGCGTGCGGGCTGCACGTCATTGGAAGAGAAAAGGAAAAGACCAGTGAGCAGCGCAAGGCATGCAGCAAAGTATGCGTGCGGGCTGCACGGCATTGGAAGAGAAAAGTAAAAGACCAGTGAGCAGCGCAAGGCATGCAGCAAAGTATGCGTGCGGGCTGCACGGCATTGAAAGAGAAAAGGAAAAGACCAGTGAGCAGCGCAAGGCATGCAGCAGAGTATGCGTGCGGGCTGCACGGCATTGGAAGAGAAAAGGAAAAGACCACTGAGCAGCGCAAGGCATGCAGCAGAGTATGCGTGCGGGCTGCACGGCATTGGAAGAGAAAAGGAAAAGACCAGTGAGCAGCGCAAGGCATGCAGCAGAGTATGCGTGCGGGCTGCACGGCATTGGAAGAGAAAAGGAAAAGACCAGTGAGCAGCGCAAGGCATGCAGCAAAGTATGCGTGCGGGCTGCACGGCATTGGAAGAGAAAAGGAAAAGACCAGTGAGCAGCGCAAGGCATGCAGCAAAGTATGCGTGCGGGCTGCACGGCATTGAAAGAGAAAAGGAAAAGACCAGTGAGCAGCGCAAGGCATGCAGCAGAGTATGCGTGCGGGCTGCACGGCATTGGAAGAGAAAAGGAAAAGACCAGTGAGCAGCGCAAGGCATGCAGCAGAGTATGCGTGCGGGCTGCACGGCATTGGAAGAGAAAAGGAAAAGACCAGTGAGCAGCGCAAGGCATGCAGCAAAGTATGCGTGCGGGCTGCACGGCATTGGAAGAGAAAAGGAAAAGACCAGTGAGCAGCGCAAGGCATGCAGCAAAGTATGCGTGCGGGCTGCACGGCATTGGAAGAGAAAAGAAAAAGACCAGTGAGCAGCGCAAGGCATGCAGCAAAGTATGCGTGCGGGCTGCACGGCATTGGAAGAGAAAAGTAAAAGACCAGTGAGCAGCGCAAGGCATGCAGCAAAGTATGCGTGCGGGCTGCACGGCATTGAAAGAGAAAAGGAAAAGACCACTGAGCAGCGCAAGGCATGCAGCAGAGTATGCATGCGGGCTGCACGGCATTGGAAGAGAAAAGGAAAAGACCAGTGAGCAGCGCAAGGCATGCAGCAGAGTATGCGTGCGGGCTGCACGGCATTGGAAGAGAAAAGGAAAAGACCAGTGAGCAGCGCAAGGCATGCAGCAAAGTATGCGTGCGGGCTGCACGTCATTGGAAGAGAAAAGGAAAAGACCAGTGAGCAGCGCAAGGCATGCAGCAAAGTATGCGTGCGGGCTGCACGGCATTGGAAGAGAAAAGGAAAAGACCAGTGAGCAGCGCAAGGCATGCAGCAAAGTATGCGTGCGGGCTGCACGGCATTGAAAGAGAAAAGGAAAAGACCAGTGAGCAGCGCAAGGCATGCAGCAGAGTATGCGTGCGGGCTGCACGGCATTGGAAGAGAAAAGTAAAAGACCACTGAGCAGCGCAAGGCATGCAGCAGAGTATGCGTGCGGGCTGCACGGCATTGGAAGAGAAAAGGAAAAGACCAGTGAGCAGCGCAAGGCATGCAGCAAAGTATGCGTGCGGGCTGCACGGCATTGGAAGAGAAAAGTAAAAGACCAGTGAGCAGCGCAAGGCATGCAGCAAAGTATGCGTGCGGGCTGCACGGCATTGAAAGAGAAAAGGAAAAGACCAGTGAGCAGCGCAAGGCATGCAGCAGAGTATGCGTGCGGGCTGCACGGCATTGGAAGAGAAAAGGAAAAGACCACTGAGCAGCGCAAGGCATGCAGCAGAGTATGCGTGCGGGCTGCACGGCATTGGAAGAGAAAAGGAAAAGACCACTGAGCAGCGCAAGGCATGCAGCAGAGTATGCGTGCGGGCTGCACGGCATTGGAAGAGAAAAGAAAAAGACCAGTGAGCAGCGCAAGGCATGCAGCAAAGTATGCGTGCGGGCTGCACGGCATTGGAAGAGAAAAGTAAAAGACCAGTGAGCAGCGCAAGGCATGCAGCAAAGTATGCGTGCGGGCTGCACGGCATTGAAAGAGAAAAGGAAAAGACCACTGAGCAGCGCAAGGCATGCAGCAGAGTATGCGTGCGGGCTGCACGGCATTGGAAGAGAAAAGGAAAAGACCAGTGAGCAGCGCAAGGCATGCAGCAGAGTATGCGTGCGGGCTGCACGGCATTGGAAGAGAAAAGGAAAAGACCAGTGAGCAGCGCAAGGCATGCAGCAGAGTATGCGTGCGGGCTGCACGGCATTGGAAGAGAAAAGGAAAAGACCAGTGAGCAGCGCAAGGCATGCAGCAGAGTATGCGTGCGGGCTGCACGGCATTGGAAGAGAAAAGGAAAAGACCAGTGAGCAGCGCAAGGCATGCAGCAGAGTATGCGTGCGGGCTGCACGGCATTGGAAGAGAAAAAGGAAAAGACCAGTGAGCAGCGCAAGGCATGCAGCAAAGTATGCGTGCGGGCTGCACGGCATTGGAAGAGAAAAGGAAAAGACCAGTGAGCAGCGCAAGGCATGCAGCAGAGTATGCGTGCGGGCTGCACGGCATTGGAAGAGAAAAGAAAAAGACCAGTGAGCAGCGCAAGGCATGCAGCAGAGGATGCGTGCGGGCTGCACGGCATTGGAAGAGAAAAGGAAAAGACCAGTGAGCAGCGCAAGGCATGCAGCAGAGTATGCGTGCGGGCTGCACGGCATTGGAAGAGAAAAGGAAAAACCAGTGAGCAGCGCAAGGCATGCAGCAAAGTATGCGTGCGGGCTGCACGGCATTGGAAGAGAAAAGGAAAAGACCAGTGAGCAGCGCAAGGCATGCAGCAGAGTATGCGTGCGGGCTGCACGGCATTGGAAGAGAAAAGAAAAAGACCAGTGAGCAGCGCAAGGCATGCAGCAGAGTATGCGTGCGGGCTGCACGGCATTGGAAGAGAAAAGGAAAAGACCAGTGAGCAGCGCAAGGCATGCAGCAGAGTATGCGTGCGGGCTGCACGGCATTGGAAGAGAAAAGGAAAAGACCAGTGAGCAGCGCAAGGCATGCAGCAGAGTATGCGTGCGGGCTGCACGGCATTGGAAGAGAAAAGGAAAAGACCAGTGAGCAGCGCAAGGCATGCAGCAGAGTATGCGTGCGGGCTGCACGGCATTGGAAGAGAAAAGGAAAAGACCAGTGAGCAGCGCAAGGCATGCAGCAAAGTATGCGTGCGGGCTGCACGGCATTGGAAGAGAAAAGGAAAAGACCAGTGAGCAGCGCAAGGCATGCAGCAAAGTATGCGTGCGGGCTGCACGGCATTGAAAGAGAAAAGGAAAAGACCAGTGAGCAGCGCAAGGCATGCAGCAAAGTATGCGTGCGGGCTGCACGGCATTGGAAGAGAAAAGGAAAAGACCAGTGAGCAGCGCAACGCAAGGCATGCAGCAGAGTATGCGTGCGGGCTGCACGGCATTGGAAGAGAAAAGGAAAAGACCAGTGAGCAGCGCAAGGCATGCAGCAAAGTATGCGTGCGGGCTGCACGGCATTGGAAGAGAAAAGGAAAAGACCAGTGAGCAGCGCAAGGCATGCAGCAGAGTATGCGTGCGGGCTGCACGGCATTGGAAGAGAAAAGAAAAAGACCAGTGAGCAGCGCAAGGCATGCAGCAGAGGATGCGTGCGGGCTGCACGGCATTGGAAGAGAAAAGGAAAAGACCAGTGAGCAGCGCAAGGCATGCAGCAAAGTATGCGTGCGGGCTGCACGGCATTGGAAGAGAAAAGGAAAAGACCAGTGAGCAGCGCAAGGCATGCAGCAGAGTATGCGTGCGGGCTGCACGGCATTGGAAGAGAAAAGGAAAAGACCAGTGAGCAGCGCAAGGCATGCAGCAGAGTATGCGTGCGGGCTGCACGGCATTGGAAGAGAAAAGGAAAAGACCAGTGAGCAGCGCAAGGCATGCAGCAGAGTATGCGTGCGGGCTGCACGGCATTGGAAGAGAAAAGGAAAAAACCAGTGAGCAGCGCAAGGCATGCAGCAAAGTATGCGTGCGGGCTGCACGGCATTGAAAGAGAAAAGGAAAAGACCACTGAGCAGCGCAAGGCATGCAGCAGAGTATGCGTGCGGGCTGCACGGCATTGGAAGAGAAAAGGAAAAGACCAGTGAGCAGCGCAAGGCATGCAGCAGAGTATGCGTGCGGGCTGCACGGCATTGGAAGAGAAAAGGAAAAGACCAGTGAGCAGCGCAAGGCATGCAGCAAAGTATGCGTGCGGGCTGCACGGCATTGGAAGAGAAAAGGAAAAGACCAGTGAGCAGCGCAAGGCATGCAGCAAAGTATGCGTGCGGGCTGCACGGCATTGGAAGAGAAAAGGAAAAGACCAGTGAGCAGCGCAAGGCATGCAGCAAAGTATGCGTGCGGGCTGCACGGCATTGAAAGAGAAAAGGAAAAGACCAGTGAGCAGCGCAAGGCATGCAGCAGAGTATGCGTGCGGGCTGCACGGCATTGGCAGAGAAAAGTAAAAGACCACTGAGCAGCGCAAGGCATGCAGCAAAGTATGCGTGCGGGCTGCACGGCATTGAAAGAGAAAAGGAAAAGACCACTGAGCAGCGCAAGGCATGCAGCAGAGTATGCGTGCGGGCTGCACGGCATTGGAAGAGAAAAGGAAAAGACCAGTGAGCAGCGCAAGGCATGCAGCAGAGTATGCGTGCGGGCTGCACGGCATTGGAAGAGAAAAGGAAAAGACCAGTGAGCAGCGCAAGGCATGCAGCAAAGTATGCGTGCGGGCTGCACGGCATTGGAAGAGAAAAGGAAAAGACCAGTGAGCAGCGCAAGGCATGCAGCAGAGTATGCGTGCGGGCTGCACGGCATTGGAAGAGAAAAGTAAAAGACCAGTGAGCAGCGCAAGGCATGCAGCAAAGTATGCGTGCGGGCTGCACGGCATTGAAAGAGAAAAGGAAAAGACCAGTGAGCAGCGCAAGGCATGCAGCAGAGTATGCGTGCGGGCTGCACGGCATTGGAAGAGAAAAGGAAAAGACCAGTGAGCAGCGCAAGGCATGCAGCAGAGTATGCGTGCGGGCTGCATGGCATTGGAAGAGAAAAGGAAAAGACCAGTGAGCAGCGCAAGGCATGCAGCAGAGTATGCGTGCGGGCTGCACGGCATTGGAAGAGAAAAGGAAAAGACCAGTGAGCAGCGCAAGGCATGCAGCAGAGTATGCGTGCGGGCTGCACGGCATTGGAAGAGAAATGGAAAAGACCAGTGAGCAGCGCAAGGCATGCAGCAGAGTATGCGTGCGGGCTGCACGGCATTGGAAGAGAAAAGGAAAAGACCAGTGAGCAGCGCAAGGCATGCAGCCGGTGGTGACGAGGGAGGTGAGCCCGCCAGTGGCACCGATGGCGAAGAAGAGAAACATGAAGGCCATGATGGGCGGGTGGGCTGCTGTCTCCCCTGAACCATCACCTTCCCCCACGCTTCATCTTCCTCACCCTTCACCTCCCCACACCGTCCAGCACCGCCCACCTTTCAAAGATGGGTCGGCCGGTCGTAACGAGGGAGGTGAGCCCACCAGTGGCACCGATGGCGAAGAAGAGAAACATGAAGGCCATGATGGGCGGGTGGGCTGCCCGTGCTGCTTCCTTGGCCTCCTGAAGCCATGCCGGGGGAGCATGGGGAGCACAGGGAGAAGTGGACACAATAGAAACATGAAGGCCATGATGGGCGGGTGGGCTGCTTCCTTGGCCTCCTGAACGTGGCACGAGGCACACAGCGAGCACATCATGCAGATAAGGGGAGCATGGGGAGGTGTGACATTTGACACGGGGTGACACACTTTTTAGACTCTTCACAGGGTGACATTTGACAGAAGAAACACTTCTGAGTGGACCCTCAAGAACCGTGGGTGTGGGTGAGTACTCTCACACAAGGGCGGGTGGGAGAAGAGGAGGGATGCGAGGGGTGATGCCAAGGAAAGTTTTGTGTGGACCCTAAAGTTTCGTGGGTGGAAATCACTCAACAGTGCGCTTTAAAGAACCGTGGGTGTGGGTGAGTGCTTCTTTTATGCGTCGAGACGCAAACATTCGTTGCGGTACCCCTCAAACCATACAACTTGATTCTGCTTTGAAAATGCTTGTTTTGTTTTTCAAGTTGTTTTTGTTTTTGGTTTTGGTAACATTCCGCCCTCTTACCCTACCGTCTCTCCCTTCCCCTCCCTCTTCCCCTTTCCCCTGCCCTCCCTACCACCCAGCTCACAGGGGAAAAGGTGAGGCGATCTGCCATCCCAGGTAAAAGCCATAACCCCCCATGGATTATCAGACGTCTCAAAAGTCCCCCTATTTCCCCCCTGCCGACTCTTTCCTCCCCTCCCTTTTCCCCACCCAGCTCACAGGCGTGGAAGCGAGGCGGATCTGCCATCCCAGGTAAGAGCCGTATCCCCCCATGGCTAGAAGAACCACTGCCTGCACGCCACGTGGCATGGCATGGTGGAAGCGCATGACAGAGGGCGTGAGAGTGAGCGCACAAGGAAGGGTAAAGGAGGCGTGAGAAGAGGGGCATGGTGGGGAATTTTGGTGCTCAAGCCAAGTCAGAGGAATAGTGGTCTCACCATATGCATATCACATCTCACCACAGTCTCATCTCACCACAAGTACACATCTCTCATCACGTGCACTCACATCTCACCATGTTACCGGAATGTCCCCAGTGAATGAGCCAGTCAAGAAGGCCCCGGGAACGCACCAGCTCCCCATACGGCTCCAACAGCTCCCTCAGCGCATCAGCTGGCGAAAGCCACATCATGTGACCACATGCACATCTCATCTCACCATGTCGTCATCTCATCTCACCATGGTGCCGGGGTGCCCCCAGTGAATGAGCCAGTCAGGAAGGTCCCACGACCGCACCAACTCCCCACAAGCACGTCTCACCAAAAGCACATCTCACCATGCACACATCTCTCATCACGTCTCATCTCATCTTCCCATGTCCTCGTCTCATCTCATCGCATCTCACCATGTTGCCGGGGTGCCCCCAGTGAATGAGCCAGTCAGGAAGGTCCCACGACCGCACCAGCTCCCCATACGGCTCCAACAGCTCCCTCAGCGCATCAGCTGGGCGGTTGGCGGTGGGGGGAAGTGAGGGAGGGGGGAGGAGTGGTGAGGAAGTGAGTGGGGGGGAGGAGAAGTGAGGGAGGGGGGAGGAGTGGGCGGGGGCGGAAGCGGCCAAGAGGGGGACGCACCAGCTCCCCATACGGCTCCAACAGCTCTCTCAGCGCATCAGCTGGGGGATTGGGGAAGGGGGGAATGGGGGGTCGGCAGGAGGAAGTGGGGTTTGCTTTGCATCAAATGAGGGCAAGAGTGGGACAAAGCCTCGTGGGTGCACGGAATCAAGGAGAAGAGAACACTATCACTTTGCACATCCCCTCCTCCCCTCATTCCCCCCCTCGCTACACCAGCATTGCTCCCCTTGTACCCTCTCCATCCAACCTCTCAACTCACTAGGTGACTTATGAATTGACTCACAAGTTCCCTTCCTTGCTTGCTTCCTTGCCTAGGAGCACGGGGTTCCCTCTCTTCCCCCATCACCTGCCAACTAGCAGCAAACCGACCACTCCCCCTCCTTCCCCCTCTCCCCCCTTCCCCCATACCCTCCCCACCTCACCCCCTCAACCCTCCCCGCCTCCCCCCCTTCCCCCCTTTCCCCCACCACAGCGAGCGTACCAGCTGCAAGGGCGGCAACGGACATGGGCGCAACGGGCATGGGCGCAACGGACATGGGCGCAACGGACATGGGCGCAACGGGCATGGGCGCAACGGACATGGGCGCAACGGACATGGGCGCAACGGACATGGGCGCAACGGACATGAGGCGGAGCTCATTCTGCCCCCCCACCCTGTCCCCCCACCCTGTCCCCCCACCCTGTTCCCCCACCCTGCCCATCCACTGGCATGCCAGCAAGGGCCTACCAGCAGCAAGCGCGGCGACGGGCATGGGCGCAACGGACATGAGGCGGAGCTCATTCCGCGACTCCTTCTCCCGCTCTGCGCCGCGCTGCTCTGTTCCCCCCGCCCCGCTTCCTTGTTCCGCGCGCACGCGCAGGCCTGCGCGCAAGGGGGGAGGGGAAGGCGGCAGATGGGTGGGGGCAGAAGGGCGGGGAGGAAGGGCGGAAGGGCGGAAGGGAAGAAGGGCGGAAGGACGGAATGGCGGAAGGGCAAAAGGGCGGAAGGGAAGACGGGCGGAAGGACGGAATGGCGGAAGGATGGAAGGGCGGAAGGACGGAAGGGCGGAAGGATGGAAGGGCGGAAGGACGGAAGGGCGGAAGGACGGAAGGGCGGAAGGACGGATGGACGGAAGGGCAACGTTGAAGTTGGCTGAGAGGAGGCAGGGCGAGAATGCTGCAAGCTAGCATAGAGGATATGAGATACCTCCCCGCGTGCTGCGCCTCGTCGTTCCCACGGCCCTCCCCAGCGACACATGGCGAGTCGACGCGGGGCCTTGCGCGCGGGGAAAGGCGATTGAAGGGCACGCGAGGGGGGGTGGGCGGAGTAGCGCGACGGATGCCATCTCGGAGAATGCGGACTGCGCAATGCGGAACGCGGAGTGCGGTGATTGGTTGCGCGAAGAGTGGTGTTTGTGAGCCTACAGTACCACGAGGAAAAAAATACCACTTGCTAAATGAGGAAATGGCGGTGGTTGGGTGTGCGGTCTGGAGGCTGGTTTCTCTTGCGTGTAAAAGTTGATATTCAGCATAAATATCCATCACAACGGCGTTCTGAGAATCGAACTCGGGACCTCTCGCACCCGAAGCGAGACTTTATTAACAGTATAGATGTACAATGGATACATGGCAATCCAGAGACCCACTGTGAAGAAAGAAATGCTAGACTGTCCTACAGTGAGGCCTACAAACAGGCCTCCGTGATGTCTCAGTGGTCACCTCCCAAGTAAGCAAAATCAGCCGCTGAAAGAGAAGTCACCTCGGATGGAACGTGGTTGACGCCCTCGGTAAAACGGATTTGCGCACGCCGACAAACAGTGCGAGCCTGCTCACGCTGGTGGATAAGAGATATCCGCTTGTAGAAGTTGGACTCAAACAGCTGGGGAAGAGAATCTGTGGCACCACTCAAGTCACGAACATGTGAAGCCCCCCTACGGCTGCATTGGCGAAGGAAGTTGTTGAAGGAAGCGCCGAAGCAACCGAAGGTTTCGATGACAAGAGGAAACAGTTTGACGTCCGGGCGGTCCCGAAGTGCTGCAGCATAGTGGGTAGTCTTCTCACTTTCACGAGTGGCTGCTGCTGAACCGATTACTGTAGCTGCGTTGGAGTGCGGAAACCCCTTTTGAGGATCAGCTACAGAAACATCCAAGGCCCAGGTGGTACCAGAGCTGATGTCGCGACACGTGATGTCTGTTCGGCGGCCTGGCAGCAAGTGCTGGTCTTCCATTTGCGCAGAGAACCCAAGCTCCAAGGCAATGCGATGAACTTCGCGCTTGATTGCGTCGTGCACCTTCGTAGGTTCATTGTTGCTAGGGCAGCGAAGGACGTGAGAATGGATGGAAGGATCGGTGTATGGGGAGTTGCAGGTGCAGGTGTGGGAAGAAGAAAGATGTGGGATAGGAAGGCCTAGGCGGACAGCCGCTGCAATCGCCACTCGGTCTCTGAAAGCTGCATGTGCGGGGAGGATCGAGCGACAGTAAGCCAGTCACCTGCATGCGGGCCCTGCAAAGAGGTCAGGCGAGCAAGGCGCAGCGGGGACGTTACTGTGGCTCGAACCTTCTCCAGCAAATCGGCTTCGAGGTGCTGGGAAAGATGAGTGTACAGCTTAGGAGGGTAGCCCGATTGAAGCACAGACCATGATGGAAAGCGCCCGCGGATGTCTTGGGGAAGCATGGTCATAGTAGATGAAATTGAAGGGTCGAGGTGGATAATGGAGTCTGTGTCAATGTAAGGGCGAAAAAGAGGAGCGCCGTCGGTGATAAATGTTAACAGAACTAGGCAAGAATGGGGACATTGAAAGAAACAGTTGGGTACAAGTAGCTAACCCTAGTTGGGTTTGTACCCTGTATTGGCTACCCCACTACAGCCTACCTACATATAAATAACACATTACAACTTAACACACCCCCATAGGCAAAGTGGGGGAGAGCAAAGGGTCACAAGACCAGTCCAGCAAAGCAAAAACAAGCCCAGGGTGGATCACAACGTCACCACACTCCGAGCACAAACAAAGGCCACAAGGCCAGTTCACATGTAGTGCTAGATATAGAACAGGACAAGCAGCAAGACAAATATAAAGTACAGTACAAAGAATGTCAAGCAGTGAGCAAGTGAGGAAACGTGGACACAAGGCCTAAAGAAGTACAGTGCCGCTGATGATCACTAGGCGGGAGCGCCTTGGTGAAGATATCAGCAGTGTTGGCCTTCGAGTCCACGTACACAAGCCGAAGCTGACCGCGCTGCTGAAGCTCTCGAGCAAGAAAGTAGCGAAGAGCAATGTGCTTCGTCCTGTGCTCCAGTCTGTGCTCCTGACACAAGGCAAGAGCCGCCTTGTTGTCACCGTACAGAACTGGAGGAGAACTAGGCCGCTCTCCCAAGTCAGTCAGCAGGTAGGTGAGCCAGCGTAACTCCTGTGCAGCCATGGCTGTGGCGTAGATCTCAGCCTCACAACTAGAGCCGAGAACAGAAGAAGAGCGGGTGGACCGCCACGAGACAGAACCAGAGCCAAGGCTGAAGGTGTAACCCTGTGACGACCGCTGCGTAGCCAGGTCGTCCACCCAAGAAGCGTCCGAGTGACCAGTGAGGACAACTCTGTCGCGTCCTCCAAGCACCAGCCCCATGCCTGATGTACTGCACAAGTAACGCAGCACCCTCTTAGCAGCCTCCCAGTGCTCTCGCCTGTGTCTCCCAGGCGCAACGTAGCGAGCAAGGATGCTAAGTGGGTACGCGAGGTCAGGTCGCGTGCAAGTCATCAGGTACATGAGGCAGCCTACAAGCTCTGGGTACGGGCCACTCGGCTCTACGGACTCGTCCGAAGGTGGAGCTGAGAGCGAGTGGCTGGTAGCCAGAGGTGTGGCCTGTGGTGAGGAGAACTGGAAGCCGAAGCGCTGAAGGACCTGCTGCACCATGTGTGACTGAGTCAGGGTGATGGTGCGGCGAGCTCTGTCCCGGGTGATCTGCAAGCCAAGGTAGCTACGCAGTTCACCCAGGTCAGTGCAGGTGTGTCTCTTCTGCAGCTCCGACTTCACACGAGCGAGTGCCTCAGTGTCAGCAGTAGCAAAGACCAAGTCGTCGACGTACACGAGAATGTAGAACGGCGGCAGCGACGTGTCTGTGCGCAGAAACAGCGACGGGTCAGCAGTAGACGGCGCGAACCCAAGAGCCGCAAGTGTAGTCCTCAGTGTGTCGTGCCACTCACGTGGCGCCTGGCGGAGACCGTAGACTGGCCGGCGGAGGCTCCACTGGGTACCAGGAGGAAACGACCTAGTAAAGCCAGGTGGGCGGCGCAGCCAGATCTCCTCGTGCAGGCTGCCCTGCAGGAACGCTGTGCTGAAGTCAAGAGAGTGAAGCTCGTAGTCACGCTGAGCAGCAACGTGCAGCAGAACCCGAAGAGTGGTCATCTTCGGGGTGGGGGAGAAGGTCTGGAAGAAGTCGACCCCCTGACGCTGACTGAAGCCTCTAGCAACGTAACGAGCCTTGAAGACAGGCGGAGAACCTGGCGGCCGCTTCACCCTGAAAATCCACATGCCATCGACGATGTTCGCCCCAGGAGGGGGAACCTCGTCGACGTAGGTGCCTGTGGACTTCCAGGATGCCATCTCTGCGTCCATGGCTGTCTGCCACTGAGAGGAGTAGGGACCCGAGATCGCCTCTGCGTAAGTGCGCGGAGTGGGGATGTCTAGTGCATCCGGGTCTCCCTCAGGGGCAAGCAACCAGGCCACGAGATGAGGTACAGCAGCCGCGAGAGAGTCAAAGTCCTCCTGCCTGTCCTCAAGGACGTCCGTGCCAAGAGCACACTCACCCCCGACGGACGGAGGACAGACAGACTCAGACTCAGCAACAAGACTGGCGGCGTAGTCGAGGCGACAGGCAGCAGCAAAGTCGACAAGCTCAGCGACCAGGGCAGACGCAGCAGAAGACTCAAACGACGGGTCAGTGACAACAGTGGCGAGAAGACGCGTGACAGTAGGGTGGGCAGCACGAACACTGTCAGACTCAGGGTCGGGAACGTCAGGAAGAGAAGACGCAGGAGGAGATGGTAGGGGGACACGCTGTGGACCAGTGGAAGGACGAAGTGCCATAATGTGCGTGCCAGGAACAGGAGGAGGACGCGGACGCGCGACACGACGGCTAGTGGGACCAGTGCGAGCAGTGCGAGCAGCGCGAACCGGCGAGGCAGGATGAGACGCAGGCTCACGACGCTCCGTAAGCGAGTCCGGCTGCGCCTTATAAGGCACAGGAGCAGGGAGGGGGGAGCCAGGCTGAAGGGGAAGGCCAGTGGAAGACGGGAGGGAAAGAACCTGGCGAAGCACCGTGTCAGGCGGCGGCAAAGCCGACGGCGACGGAGGAGCGAAGAACAGGCGCGACGGCGGAGCTCCGCCAGCACCTCCAGCACCCGGAGCACCAGAAGCACCTGGACCAGCACCCTCCGCCGCAGCACCCCCCGAGTCGGCGACGTCAGCACCAGAGGCCCCAGCAGCGTCAGACCTCCCCTCGCCAGCACCTCCAGAACCAGCAGGACCACCGTGTCCAGAACCGTCAGCTCCAGCGTCGTCAGCTCCAGCAGCTCCAGTACCGCCAGGAAGAGCACCCCCAGACGCAGCAACCCCAGGCTCCGTAGGCTCAGTAGCAGCACCCCCAGGCTCAGTACCCTCAGGCGCAGTACCCCCAGGCTCGGCACCCCCAGACTCCGTACACGCAGGCTCAGCACCCCCAGTCGTAGCACCCCCAGGCTCAGCACCCCCAGGCGCCGAACTCCCAGGCACAGTACCCTCAGCTCCAGCACCCGCAGTCCCAGCACTCCCAGGCCCAGCACCCGCAGGCTCAGCACCCCCAGGCTCAGCACTCCCAGCAGCACCACCTGCAGCAGCACCTGAGTCACCTGTGACCTCGACAGGCTCAGCGACGGGAGGAGGGTCTACCTGAGAGACACCTGAAGGAGCAGGACCCTGAGGGGGAAGGGGGTCTACCGGAGGGGGACCAGGAGCAAGGAAAAGCGGCGGGGGAGGGAGGGGGGCAGTGCGGTAGGGGAAGAGACGGTAAAAAGGGACCGACTCGTCAAAGGTGACGTCCTGAGAGGCGAAGACCCGGCGCGAGGTGGGGTGGTAAAACTGCCAGCCCGGCGCGTCAGGGACAAAGCCAAGGAAGACACAGGGAAGCGTGCGGGAGGAGAGCTTGTCCGCGGACGTATCGCGGACAAGGGCACGAGCACCCCACACCCGGAAGCGCGACGCATCGCCAACCTCCCCCGTCCAACGCAGTGTGGGCGAGGTCTCCGGCAAGGAGACACGGGGCCAGAGGTTGAGCTGATGCGCGGCGTACCGGACAGCAAACGGCCACAGAAAATGGGGAGCCGCCGCGTGGACCAAGGAGGTACGAGCGACCTCCATGACCAGGCCAATGCGGCGCTCAGCAACCCCATTCTGCTGTGGGGAGTCCGGAAGCGTGAAGGTCTGCTCGATGCCCTCCGCCTGACAGAAGGTCCTCAAGAGATCGGAGGAAAACTCACCACCTCTGTCAGAGTGCAGACGCAGGACAGGAAGATCCGTCCGGAAACGGCGGCGGAGCTGGAGACGAACTGTGCGGATCCAAGGGATCAGAACAGCAGGGACCTCACCCTTGGTGCGCAAGGGGAAGACCGTGGTGTAACGCGAGTAGTCGTCGACAACCAGCAAAAAGTACCGCTCACCACCCTGGCCACGAACGCGGGCTGGGCCCCACACGTCCAGGTGGAGGGTCTGCAGAGGAGCCTCTGTCGGGGGGAACGAGGAGGAGTGAGGAGCGGCGCGCTGCCGCCCCTCGACGCAAGGAAGGCAAGGCGGCGCAGGCGAGGCAGGGAGGGGAGGGAGGGACCTGGGAAGACCAGACACAAGGCAGCGACGGTGCATGCCACGGAGGCGTGGCAAGGAGGGGTGACCCAGGCGGTGGTGCCAGAGAAGAGTCTGGTGCGACAGGGAACGACACTCACAGGCGTGGGCCACCAGACCTGACGCGGACACCTGACCGACAGCAGCAACCTGAGGAGACGCAGTGGTCAGTGTGTAGAGACTCGACCCCGGCCGACGGGTAAACGTAGCCAGGTGACGGCCGGTCCTGGAGCACGTGCAGATCGCCACACGCTGTCCTCCAGGGGTAAAGGTGTCAACCCACTGATCCTGGATGACAGCGTTGCTCACCAGGTTCGTCGAGAACGAGGGGAGGTGGAAACCCGACAACGAGCCAGACGGA